GATACTTGATCCAACATCTTTCTAGGAAGTGCTCCAAAGAGCTACAAATTATGTTTCTTATTTCTGATTGGGTTTTAACTCTATAACTATAAAAGTAGAACTTAGCCAAACTTTATGAACCAGATGTTCCAGAACGTGATGAAATATAGTGAGGAGAGGGATCTCCAGGAACAAGGGGGGCATTCCAGAGAAGTAAGAGGCAACTCAGTCCAGATGTTATGTGTGAGAGAAAGAAGATGAAGACAGTCCTTCCCTAATAGTTCACAGACTATACTGTAGTAGAGTCCTCAGTTTGGCAAGATTTTGTCTATAGCTGTGAAACAATAAAGAACTCAGCCTGGAAGAATTGCCATGTGTTTATTCTTGGTTTTGGGCCTGACACAGGTGTACTGAAATTACCATTCCTGGAATTTCTTCCCACCGGAAAGAAAAATATTCACCTGGCGGTGAAAGCGAGTGCCATCTTCTTCAGGGACGTTCTCAAACTCAGTCACAAATATTTTGCCTTCTATTTCCCGATGGGTGCTCTGGACACCAGTATCTAACAGATAAACCTCAACCAGTTCACCAGCATCTATAGGGAGAATCAGTGATACCGAAGGGATACTTATTAAAACAGTTAAATGCATTTCTTATTTTAATTTGTTTGTCAATATTAATCCAATTATTCAATATTAATCCAATATTACAACAATGCAAGGGTGGTCTTAATTTTAACTTCTCTTGTGCATTAACAATGGAAGGAAATGAGTTAAATATTGTGATTCTATGACTTAAAAATCTGGATACTAGAAGGTGAACTGTGGACTGCAGTCAATATATGGACATAGTAATTGCAACACAGTTTGTCATTCTGAAGTGGTTTTTTTTTTAAATAGCTGGAAATGAGGAGTTGTGGCTTGGGCTACACCTTGTATTATTTTGACTCTGTCTCCAACATGCTTCTACTGGCAATTGGTATAAAGTCCCCATTGACATCCAAATGAGCTTATCTCCAACCATGAATATTAGGAACAGGGAAGGAAAATGCAATTCTAATAAAAACTATAGCAATCGTTAACAGATCAGTCTTCCTTCTTTCTTCTCATTATATATTCCCAATCCAACCCAGCCCAACTTCCAAAAGCTCTTTTTAGATATCCAAAATAAGAGTTGGAAGGTCTCCAGTCTCATTTAGGTGCTACTCTGTTTAGGCTGAAATATTCTCACTCCAAATAAGGGTTTTGTTTACTTTTTCTATGTGTTTCTTAAATATATATCCTGGAAGAGACTAAAATGGATCAATGATTTTGAACTGGGAGAGCATCAGAAGTTTCCTCTAAACAGAAACACCTGTCTCCTCTCTTGGACCTCCTATTGTCCATTCACTCTCATAGAAACAAGAGGATTACTATAGTTCTGTAATCCCAAATGAAGAATAAACTCAACTTGATCCATATTCCATGGCAGAATTTGAATTTGTATCCCATTCTTTTAATTCTTGTTGAAATAAATGTCCTTTGCTTTTTACAGAGGGTCCCTGCTTGCTTCTGGAAAAAAATGTGGAAAAGATGAAAGGGATAGCTTACTGGGGGGATGATACTCATTCAGCGTGTCCTGTTCTGGGACAATCCGGCCAAGATTCCAAGGAACGCTTTGAGCAAACACGTAAGAGTCCTCTTCTATGTAATCCACATGTGGGAGTTTCAAAGCCTGCACAAAAGAACCAGAGGAAAGTATTGCAGCACAAGCAACAGGACTATCATATTCTTTTTGAAAAAAATTACATAAAGGATGCGAAAGAAGCATCTTATACTTGCATCTGTTTTACCACACTATAAAACAACTTGTTCCAGGTTGACTCTATAGAGAGCCATCGCAAATACAGTACCAGTAAACGGCAGGTAATTCTGCTATACATTTCGCAAAGCATGTTTCGGCCCCGCATGTAAAGCTATTGGCATTACAAGAACCACACAAGAATGTAAAGGATGAATCTGAGAATTGACCTTCATTCACCTAATCCATGCTGGCTCAGGAATTCTGGAAGCTGAAGTCCACAGGTCTTATATGCCCACCCCGATCCAATCTATATAATATAACATACATCTATCAATATGCTTTATGTTCTATACTCTATACTGGTGGTTCACAATGTGGGTCATATATTCTCTTCCCCCCCCCCCAGCCATGTACTTTATACACACACATACACACACACACACACACACACACACACACTCAGATGCATATGCAGACAGATATCTGGCCACGAGCATAGTGCATCGTAAAGCAAGAATATTTTCAATGTTCTGTCTTTAGAATGCAGAAGCAAAAAATGTAAGGACTGAGGGTAGAATGCTAAATTAAGATAAGGTAAGATTGAGTAGAATGGATAGTTAGAACAACACAGAGCAAACGAAAATATTCCCAGTAATTCCTGGGAATAAAAAAAACAAACAACACAAAATTCTTTGTATTATAGAAAAATCTTTATTTTGAAGTACTTTTTTCATAGACAAATTGTTTTTGAGGGGAGTTGTCCAGGTTCTCATCCAGTTTTACAAATAATCTCCCCAAAAGGATCCACTACACTCTCTGAGGGTCACTTCAGTGGTGGGATTCAGCCGGTTAGCACCACTTCGGCAGAACCGGTAGCTAATTTTTTGCTGCCCAGGCCAGATGGACTTCCGGAAGCGGCATCCACACAGAGAACCGGTTGTTCACATATTTGAATCCCACCACTGGGTCACGTCAATATTATTTTATTGATTGATTGTTTTAAAATTATTGGCCACACATCTCCAATGGCCTTTCTGCCTAATCTTAACTTTCAACACCCCTTTTCCCCTTTCCCATCTTTTCCGCATTGAATTAAATGCTTTGAAGGTGTTAAAAATCTAATGAAATGAGAAAAAGTCTGCTTCAAATGATGGGAGTTGTAATCCAGAAGGTTAAAGTTTTGGCTCTATACTGTTGCCTCCACATGGAGAAAGTTGCTCTGCAGAGACTTCCATCCAAGAGTAGAAAGTCTCAGCAAACTTGACTTCTCCAGTGAATCATTTATTTCCCTTAAAAAAAAATTCCCAAGAAAGTGCCTCCGAGTGAGCTAGATTTCAATTCTCAAAATTCCCAACCAACCAGACCATTTATTTGCACACCAGGATAGGGAAGGCCATCCTCAAATGTGGTGCCTGGGTGCATCCACTTCAGGTCACTGTGCTGTTGGACAAGTGTTCTACCACGTTTGTGTACAAAGCAGCCTGACATCCATTTGGCATCAGGGAAACCATTAACCAAACACTCCTCCTTACCCTACTGGGTCTTGCAACATTAGCGGAAACTTTTGAAATGTTTGCACAGAATCAGCAATTGCTGAAAAAGCTCTCTGATTTTCAAACTGTAAACAAAACAGCAAAGCTCTTGCAGGATGCCTCCTCTAGCCATTTCTGTGGGAATAAATGGGAACAGGAGAGATTCACAACTGAGACTGTGAAGTAGCTACACAGGATGTGGATGCCAGTAGGAATTATATGGCCTGAGTAGAACTATGTCTATTACTGGGCAAGCAAATGACTCCTAAAAACAAGCCCTCTCAACAAAGCTGGGTACAGCCTCATGATAAAAGCATGCTTTATATATACACTGCCATTTTTGCAAACATGGCTGAAGCCACAAAGATATGCTAATTATTGACATCTGTTCTCTATCCATCATGGGTCTGTGAACATTCAGAAAATCAGAGGCATATTATTATAAAAACAATTTACCAAATCATACAAGTGTACAAGCTGAAAAATACCTACTTTTCTATAGAAAAAGCCCTTTCTAAAAATGCAAAGGAAATAATCAAAAATCAATTACTAATATAAAGAAACAAAGGGTACTACAAAGACTGGACACTATGCCATTCAAAATGGTATGATCCAAATCTGTAGCTAATTTTCTCAGTGAACTATCTCTGTAAAGTATGTGTTTACACACCCTGCGTGTGATGGTAGATAAGAATAATCTCACACAGTCTTTGAGAATTCTAAAATTAGTATGTCAACAATTCCAACTCAGAATGTGCTTTGGTTCTTAAGGCAAAGTATGAATTACTGCCTTATCATAGCTTAAGCAATTTGCCAAAATACAAGTCACTTCCAATTAAAAATTTAAATCATTTGGAATGCCATATTCAGTAGCTGCAATATGTTGATTTTTTTTTTTTTTGCTGAATAAAGGTTTTTTGTCACTCCTGGAAATAAAAAAAATCCAGAAAAGTTTATCTCCCACAGCAAGTGGCAACATCTAGCCAACGTTTACTAACCTATGGTGAGTACTTGAATGGGAGACTACTAAGAAATCCCATAACTGGGAAGAACACAACTATTATTGCTAAGAAAATAATGTGGGCCCCTCTGAATAATCACCAGAAGTCACTTCAAAAGAATCTGTAGTTAAGATTAGCAGAGACTGATTTTTTTTCATTGATGAGGAAGGATTAAATATAAATCAAGCCTCCGTTTATGACATGCTTCCTTACAGTGATGCTTTCCACTGGTAGACAACATTATCTCTAGCCAGCAATCATGAGCAAGCACACACAAACATACATGCACACCCACAAACAGATATGGAAGTCTTCTGTAAATATGGTAAAATTAATTCTTTGCAATGGAGACTTGTACTAGATCGCCCCAAATGATGAACAAATTCTGATTTGGAACGTGGTGAAAAATAGCATCTAATAAGGAACTAACAGAAAGATATTCCTCCCATATAGAATAATATTATTTGTATTAAATAACAGAGGTAATATAAATTTAATTTATAGCAAACATTCCAAGTAAATTGGTTAAATCACAATATTACCAGGTTTGTTGTTTATATATTCAGTTGCTATTGACAGTTGTGTTAATAACTGGGAAGACGTACCATAAGGTATGGTCAAAAAAGTTAAGATGGCTGCCATGATAATTTGATCAAAGCTCTGCCCATAATATCCCAGTAGTCCTTAACTGAAATTGAACCCATAATTAGTCATAAGTCATGCCAGTCATTAAGTGACTCATCACATGACTGACCCGATTTGATGACATTTTTGTGAGTCATTAGTGAACACCGCAGTCATAAAGCAAACACTGCTATCACAAAGCAAAGCTACTGTCCGCAATGAACTTTTTGGCCGGAAACCGAAAGTAAACACCAGTTTCTGGCAAATAAGTTATAAATCAGTTATGTGACCGTGGGACACTGCAGTTATGTGACCGTGGGACACTGCACAGCTGTGATTTACAATGTTACAACTGGGTTGATTACTCAGTGCCGAAAATGCGATCACGTGACTGTAAGGGGCAGACTTCCATTGGAATTTCAAGTATGGATCGTAAGTAACATTTTTTGGGTCCATCGTAACTTTAAATGGTTACTAAGTGATCAGTCCTTAAGTGAGGACTACCTGCCTGAACAGAAGCCATTTTTTTTACATGCAGACTCCTAGGGCAGTGGTGGCGAACCTATGGCATGGGTGCCAGAGGCGGCACTCAGAGCCCTCTCTGTGGGCATGTGCACCGTTGCCCCAGTCCTAGGCCTTCAGTTGGGTTTTATAAAACCTTTCCCCTTTAGGCCTCCACCACCGTGTGCAAAAAAAAAAAAAGGTTCAGTCAATTTCAACTTCTCGCGGGAAAAAAAAAGATCTCGCAAAGTTGGAATTGATTGATTAAACTTTTTAGTCCCACCCAGTCTGCCGTTACCACCGCAGCCACGCCCACCCAATGGGCCACACCCACCCAATGGGCCACACCCACCTAATGGGCCACACCCAGCCAGCACCCGACGATGCATAAGTGGGTTTTGGGTTGCAGTTTGGGCACTCGGTCTCTAAAAGATTCGCCATCACTGTCCTAGGGTTAACTGGCAGGTTAACATGGGGACAATCAAGTTTGAATTGAACTTACCATATGCAGCACATCTCTGCTCATCTTCACAACAAAGCCCTGGATAAGCTCCTCAAAGATATGCAGGATTTTGGTCATATAGCCACGCTTGGCTGCTCTGGCTTGCAAACGCTTAACGGTTTGTAGGATTTGGGATTTAAGGGTTTCCTCCTTGAGCACCACAATATACTGTCCAGATAAGCGCCATGACTCCTGGGTTCAGACAAGAAGAAGCAGAGAATGGGTCGGAGGGCAATCAAGCTTGGATGACGCACAAAAAAAATATGTTGCTAAAATGCAGTAATCAAGTCGGTTGCATTGAACTAAAAATAGCCTTCCAAATATGTTAAATTTCAAGTCCCAAAATCCCTTGGTTGGTCATTTAGTGGAAGGATTGTGGAAGCTGAAGTACACTTCAGTTGTATCAGTTATAACTAGAAACTTATAAAGAAAAGAGTATTTTACTCCGTTTGTGCCTGGTGCTAAATTACATAGTCTGGGCGGGTTTCACAGCTGAGTGAATGAAATGTCCTGAAAAGTCATTCTAAAAAAATTGTTTCTTTTCCAGAATTTCTATGTAATGTAATCTTACTCATCAACACTATTACATTGCATATTCATTTTTATCAAAGTTTGGTAAAGAAGTCCAGGATTTCATAGCCGTAAAACTGTGGTTGAATCAAGATACTACTCCGAATCCCACACTATCTCTAATTATGCCCTGAATATTGTATATTAACTTCTCTGCTAATTCATTTGAGGAACGCAAGGATTTCACATTGAATTCGAATAACACATTCATCAACTGCTATCTTGGTTTAACATTCCTTCTGTCTAGTTATATGAGGGCAATTTGGAAAGAAACCTCCTTTTGGTTATCAATGACAGATACTCGCAGATACAGAACTTTTATTATACACATTAGAAAACTACAATATTACATTACTTTTCGACATAATCGCCATTCAAATTGAGGCACTTGTCATAAGGTCTTACAAGGTTTGAAATTCTTTCTGCAAAAAAATCTCCCGCCTATGAATGAAGCCACCCTGTAACAGCATCATGAACCCACTCAGTGTGTTTTTTGTGCTCCTCAAAAAGGAGTTTTGGCACCCAACGAGCACAGAACTTGCGATATCCCAAATTTTCTGTCACTACCTTGTATAAAATAGTCTGAGAAATTTGGGGAAAGTGTAAAGAAAGTGCAGACATCGTGAACCAACGGACTTCACGGACCTTTTTGTCAATTTCCTGCACAAGTTCATCGGGTGGTCACTTCTTGCCTCATCCTGCACGTAAGTTCGTCCATCTTTAAACATGCAACACCATTGACGTATAACACCTTCACTCATTGCGCTTGGTCTGTAAACATTACACAGTTCGCAATGAATCGCAGCTGCCGAAAGTTTTTTCGCACAAAGGAATCGTATTACTGCACACACTTCACATTTGGAGGGATTTTCTATGTCAGGGTTCATTTTCAATTCATCTAGTGGACGAGTCAACTGCAACACAACCTTCTCCTTCCAGTTCTCACTGCCTACTGAACTACTGTGCATGGCGCCATTGGACAGGTGTCGCTATCCCTGCCTATTTCTCTCACATGCTCAGACGGAGGTTTATTTCCGAATTGCCGTTATATACTCTTTTAAGATATAAATTTTTATTGTTTTTATCATAAAAAAAAAACACATCACAAGTACAACACAATGCATAAAAACCCCACCCCCCACCCCCCACCCGGACTTCCCAAACCTTATCCCAGGATACTATTCAACTAAAAGTAAACTACTATTAATATCCCTAACTCCACAAAATATTATTCTACATAAGAAGGTGAAATATATAAAAAAAAGAAACACATTATCTAAAAGCCTAGATTATATTCCACCATTCTAAGCTTATTTTGAATATAAACAATCCATCTTCTCCATATTGATAAAAATTGTTCATTTGAGTGATTCTTCAAATAAGC